GCTGTGTTTAGGAACTGAGCATGGTAGTATATGCCTGTGATCCTCAGCACTTAGGAAGCTGAGGCAGGAGGATTGCCAAAAGTTCCAAGGACAGCCAAGGCTGCGTAGCAAGACGGAGCACAAACAAACAAAAAAAAAATTGTTTAAACTTACTTGGGGACAGGGCCTTTCAGGTTTGCCCTGTATCAGCCAGTTAGGTATATGAGCATAGGCTATCACAATTGGTCCTTCGTAACCACCTGCAGGGACTCAACAGTTGTCGGTTGAACTTTTGATTATTAGTGCTCAGGATTGAACGCAGGGCTCTGTACATACAAGATACGCACTATATCACTGAAACCAAATCAGCCCTGGAAATATTTTTTATATTGATTTACTTTTATTTTATATACATTTGTATTTTGCCTGCAGGTCTGTCTTTGTGAGTGTTAGATCTTGGGGTTACAGACAGTGTTGAGTTGCATGTGGGTGCTGGGATTTTGAACATGGTTTTCTGGAAGAGCAGTCAGTACCCTTAACTGCTGAGCCATCTTTCCAGCCCCCAAAATATTTTTTTAAATTATGCCCATGATGAACTATTTTTGTCCATGATAAGACATTTTTCACTTTTCCCTAAACAATAAAATAGAGCAGCAATATAGTACTTTTATATCATGTTAGGTACTATAAGTAACTCAGAGGTAAGCCTGTGTTAGGATATACTTGGCTCCTCTGTAGATGGTATGCCATTTTATGTAAGAGACTTGTCTTCAAGGCAAAGTTGTTGCATTAATTCCCCCAAGGACCATTTGGTCTTCTTGGGACTGATCCATCTCTAAGAAAAATGCCCTGTCCTAGCCTTTCCTTGAGTCTAAAAGCAGACGAGCATTCCTGCAGTTCTTGGCTATTCTGTTCTCTTCATTATCTTTTTTTATTTATTTTATTTATTTTTTATTTTTCAAGACAGGGTTTCTCCGTAGTTTTTTGGTTCCTGTCCTGGAACTAGCTCTTCTAGACCACGCTGGCCTCGAACTCACAGAGATCCGCCTGCCTCTGCCTCCCGAGTGCTGGGATTAAAGGCGTGCGCCACCACCGCCTGGCTTCTTCATTATCTTATTCACCCGTGTGGCTGTTTAACTCTGCTGTCAACTTACGTCAGCTACTGTCTGCAAGTGCCCGTGTTCAGTCTGTGCCGTGAGAGCTCACGAAGGGACCCAGACTCTTCTCATTCACAGAGCCCCATCTGCCTCAAGTGCTGGGGTTAAAGGCGTGTGGCACAGTGACAGGAAGAGAGGGTTCCTTCCCCCATTCCGCCGCTCCATCCCACGTGCTGATGGTGGAAGTGTTCACTTTGCCTCAGGCTACTTCATCTTTTCTCATCTCTGTACGGACACTATTTTATGAATTTGATTTCCTTTTGCCCCAAGAAAGGAATGGAACACAGCATCCTGTTCAACCAGCCCTGCTTTCTAGGTGCTTTTAATGCAACTGACTGATAAACCCGGCATAGGGATTCATTTTATCTATGCTGTGTGGTAGTCAGTGTATTGCCAACTCCCCATTCTAGGTACATAGTGCATTTTTCTTAGCCAAAGGTTCAAGAAGCGATTTCTTTATTGGGTCTTGCTGTGCAGCCCAGAATGACCTCAAACTTGTGATTTAATTGCTGGGGTTTAAATATGTTGTCACATCTGCTCTGGGCATATGGTAAGCTAGTCTTGACACTGATGAGGTTACAGTTGACTTCATTAGTGCAGTTCTGTCATTGTGTTTGGAGGGATGGTGGGAGGTCTTAGCAGGTAAAACACTCGTCAAGATGTAGGATGACCTGAGTTTGATCTCTGAAACCTACAGAGTGGAGAGAGAGAACTGATTCCCACAGGTTGTCCTCTGAAGTCTACACATACACTGTAGCGTGCTGGCATCTCTCCACCCTCCCCCCAACTCACACAAAAAGAAATGTAAATGAAAAAAAATTTATTGGAGGTCTGGCAAGATAGCTCGGTGGGTAAAAGTTCTTGCCGCCTAGCCTGATGACCTGAATTTGACCCCCAGGACCCACATGGTGGAAGGTGAGAACCCACTCCTGTAAATTGTTCTTTGATGTTCACAAATATGCCCCCCCAATAAATTAATAGTTGTACAAGTAAAAAATATGACTGGAAACCCAGCATGGTGGCACGCACGTGTCCTCCATGTAAGCTACTGTCACACATATCCGTGTTTGTTGGCTTTGTGTGCACACTAATTTAGAGACAGGGTTTTGCTGTATAATCTGTACTGACTTTGAACTCTTGGCAACCCCCCTGCCATAGTCTCCTAATTGGTGGGATTACAGGTCTGAATCACTATGCCCAGCTAATTTCAATTTTTGTATCAGTCAAGGACATATTAGGTTATATTGTAGCAAGACCTGGGCTCCTGAAAGGAAACAGTTTCCTAAACAGTGCTCCCCCTTCCTCCGGAGGGAGGTGCCCACACCACTCTGGCTGGTTGGTAGTACGCAGTCTCAGGCTGTTGTGCCCGACCCCATGTGCCCCACCCCCATGTGCCCCACCCCCATGTGCCCCACCCCCACTCCTCCTCATCTGCCTGACTGCTGTCAGCTGGGCCTCCTCCTGTTACCATGTGTTAGATCTGTGGAAACGTGGCACCCAGATAGCTCAGCCATACTGGCAGAGAAACTTGAGCCCCACTTAGAACTTAAGTTTGAATTGTAAGTAAAAATGTTATTTTATTTTTTTCCATTGAGGGAAGAATAAGGGTGTCTTACTTAGGGAAATGCTCAACATCCTGAGCTGTCAGAGAAATGCAAATTAAAACAACTTTGAGATTCCATCTTACACCTGTCAGAATGGCCAAGATCAAAAACACTGATGACAGCCAATCCTGGAGAGGTTGTGGGGTAAGGGAAACGCTCATCCATTGTTGGTGAAAGTGCAAACTTGTACAACTGCTTTGGAAATCAGTATGGTGATTTCTCAGAAAATTAGAAAATAGGCCTACCTCAAGACCCAGCAATACCGCTGTTGGGTATAAATCCAAAAAACACTCACTCATACTACAAGGACATGTGCTCAACTATGTTCACAGCAGCAATATTTGTAATAGCCAGAACCTGGAAACAACCTAGATGCCCCTCAACTGAAGAATGGATAAAGAAAACGTAGTACATTTACACAATGGAGTACTACACAGAGGTAAAAAATAATGACATCTTGGAATTTACAGGCAAATGGATGGATCATATTGAGTGAGGTAACTCAGACCCAGAAAGACAAATATAATATGTATTTGCTCATAAGTGACTTTCAGACATAAAGAAAACGCAGCCTACAGGCCACAACCCCAGGGAACCAAGACAACAAAGAAAATCTACAAAGGGAGGTGAAAAAGACAGGATCTGCTGAATAAATTAGAAGCCTGGGGGGTCACAGGAGAGGGCAGAAGGGGATAGGAAAGAAAGGGAGTGGAGAAAAAAGTGTAGCTCAACAAAAGTAATAAAAGGGCTGGAGAGATGGCTCAGAGGTTAAGAGCATTGCCTGCTCTTCCAAAGGTCCTGAGTTCAATTCCCAGCAACCACATGGTGGCTCACAACCATCTAGTGCCCTCTTCTGGCCTTCAGGCATATACACAGGCAGAATATTGTATATATAGTAAATAAATAAATAAATATTAAAAAAAAACAAAAGTAAAAAAAAAGTAATAAAAAAAGGAGAGAAGTTAGGGCCTAGGCATGTAACTCAGCCAGCAGAGTGTTTCCTAGTGTCCTAACTTCCTTTCTATTACTGTGATAAAGACCATAACCAAAAGCAACTTAGGGAGAAAGGACAGCTGGCAGTCCACCATTGAAGGAAGCCATGGCAGAAGCTCGTGGCAGGAGCCTGGAGCCAATTAACAAAAGCTATTCTTTTTTTCAGTGCTGAGGACCCTACTCGGAGGAAGGGAGGGGAGTGGAGAAAAAAAAATGTATAGTTCAATAAAAACAAACCAAACCAAAAAGTAAGGGTGTCTTATCTGCAGGAGAGATGTGAGTTCGGTAATGGCCTGCCTACCAGGAAGGCTACTAGTGGTAGTCATTGTAGTCTCCAAATATTCCTGCATTCCTTTGTTTGTTTTGAGACACTCTCACTGTGGGGTCCAGAATGGTCTCAAACGCACAGCAATCTTCCCTCAGCCTCCTGCGCTGAGATTACAAGTGAACTCTACCACTCCTGCCTAGAAGCTCACTCCTGACCCCTGGTGGTTGAACGAGGTCATAGACCTAATTCTGCCTAATTCTGAGTAGATTGGAACAGGTAAGAACTGATTCCCAGCGTGGAAGCCCCCCCCCCCCACCGTCCCCGGCCCTGTGTGTGGTGTGTGTGTGTGTGTGTGTGTGTGCTTGTGTGCACCATGTGGGGAGAGAACCATCTCACAAGGCAGCCTTGTCTATGTAGTTCAGGTAAGTCGTAAATTGTGATCCCAGCGCCTCTGCCGCATCTTGAGTAGCGTGCACTGAGACCAGCTAAAATGAAGAGAGCTGGGGGCCTGCTGAGTTTGGGAAGTACGTCTCAGCGGTATGAACACGTGAGCAAAGATGTGGCGAGGGGCCAAGGCACAGGAAACTCTAGTTTTAAATGTTAACCGGCGGTCTGGGCTCTATTGCCATCTAGTGGATGCTGAGGAGAAAGGGATTCTTGTACCATATTCAATAGGGATGGGAGTAGAAGGAAGAAGGAAAAAAACATTTTCAAATTAATCTTATCAGTTCTGTAAAACTTCAACCTTTAGAAGAGCACGAGGCTAGCTATGAATAGACAGTTCAAATAAGCTCAGTGTCATGCTTGACCTGGCAAGCTGACAACCTAAATTCTGATTCCAGAGCACATATAAACGCCCATAGCAGGAGTAGCGGGAGCTTCTGTGATGCCGAGGCCCAGGAGAGCTGAAAGAAGCTTGCTGGCCTACCTGACCTGGGGCACATAGTGCACAGAGACCTGGTCTCAAGGCGAAAGGTAAGGGCCGACACCTGAGGGCTGGCCTCTGAGCTCCACAGATGCCATGCTCACGGCTACACCCCACATAGGAAAACACACAGATACACTCACGTGTCGCACACTCAAAACCAAAGAAAGGAATAAAAGAAAGGGGCAAAGAAAGGAAGATAGGGAAAGAAATGGGAAAAAAGATGGCTGAAGTTGGGTCATAAGAGTTTTTATTGCAACAAAGGCGCCGCCTTGAACTCACAGAGACCCACCTGCCTCTGCCTCCCAAGTGCTGGGATTAAAGGCGTGCACCACCACCACCTGGTTTAGTTCTTTTATTTCTATAGAACCTTCCAGCACTCTATCTATCTATATAATTTTTCTCTGAATCCCACTGCAAAAAGCTTTTGTGACCAGAAGTAGTGGTGTACATCTTTAATCCCAGCATTCAGCAGAGGCAGGCAGATCTCCATGAGTTTGAAGCCGGCCTGGTCTACATAGCGAATTCTAGGACCGCTAAGGCTACACAGTAAGACACTATCTTTTTTTTTTTTTTTTTTTTTGAAGAAAGCAAAAGACTTTTATTAAGAAATCAGGATACAAAAAAAAAAAAAAAAAAACAAAGTGATTACCATTTTAATACCCAAACACCAAGTAACCACACCCTAGGCCTGCATATCTTTGTTAGTAGCCAGTCTTAAGTTAACTCTCTTGTCAATAACCTGGAAAGAACAAGAATGGCTGAAACTTTAGTCAAGGCGGAACGGATCCACTTCTGTGGGCCCTTACCAAGGTTGGATAGAAAACAACTTCACTCTATTGCCTATGGGTATTCAAGAGCAACTTTTGTTACTAGAAAAACGTTGACCAAGAGATTTGCCCTTCAACTCCCAATAGTCTCTTGTCCCATGTGGCCCTCACCTCCTATGTGTCCCACGGCCCCATTGTCTCCATTTTAAAAATGTCATTCTAGCCAAAGCTAAGAGACTATCTTAAACAAACAGAAATGGAAGTAAATAAATGGAAAGAGTCTGCCTCTGTGGTCGAATACTCACCGCGCAAGTGCAAGTATAGTCCTCAGTACCGGAGGAAAAAAATAGTTCTTGTTAATTGAAGTATCCCAAGCATCCAGAATACTGTCTAGCACATAGTAGGTGCTCAATAAATATTCATTACATGAACAAATCTTACCTTAGTGATGAAAAGAGATAAACATGATGGTCACTTTAGCTTTATGGAGATATAAAATTTATGTGGTGTGTGTGTGTTGTAAGCATCTTGAAACTGAATCCACGAATGTGGTAGGTTTCTTTTCCTGTGGTTAATAAGGAATTGTGTGTCTCTTCATGACTAGTAGCGGTTCCTTCTCTTTTCTTTCTGTTGCAGAAAGGGGTAGTTTGTTCTAGGAGCGGAAAGGAGAGGGCCTAGGTGTGCCAGGCTGGAGAGCGAGAAAAGAGAGAAGGGCTGATGTGTGGTACCATGACCTCTTTTGGGTCTGTAACACGGTACCCGCCTCACCCTGAGTGCATGTGAACTTTCAGAGCACGTTCTGTTGGCTGAATGGAGCTCAGGTACACTGAGTGCTGCCTGTCTGGCTTGGTTTTCGTTCTGAGACCGAGCCTCCCTCTGTAGTACAAGCTGTCCTCAAATAGGCAACCCAGGCTGGCCACAGACTCATGGCAATCCTCCTGTCTCAGCTTCCTAGGTGCTGAGATTACAGGAGTGAGTTACCACTCCGCAATCAACTGCTAAAACTCATCTTTTTGGACAAGTTGTTTTCATTTTATTAATTCCTAATACACCCAGTCTAGACATTTTACAATTTCTTTGATGATGCATTATTTTAAAATGTGTTTATTGTCCATGTGTGGTGGCATATGCCTTTAGTCCAAGCATTTGGGAGGCAGAGGTAGGCGGCTCTTTGAGTCTGAAGCCAGCCTGATCTACACACTCAATTCCAGGGCAGCCAGGGCTGTATAGTCAGAGCCTGTGCCAATAACATCATGAAAAGAAAAGGAAAGGTGTTTATTTATGAAATACTTTGAAATCCATGTCACCCCAAAAAAGTTTTTCTGGGGTTTACTTCAGCAATATGGTTGAAAAGAAAGAGACCAGTATGGGCCCTGACAGATTCGTGAAATGGTCTGTATATTTCATTAAAGTTTTCTGAATGGGATCTAAGCCGGCCTCAAACCCCTGGGTTGGAGCACTCCTCTTGCCTCAGCCTCCCAAGTACCTGGCACTGCAGGAGCACATGTCCCAGCCAGTCCTTTGGGTGGCCCATTCTGAGCTGGCTTCAACAGACACACCGTCAAGTCGTTGCTTCCCCCTTTGTTCACACTTTATAAACAAGTAACAGCCTGGTTGTTATTTTTTTAAATCTCATTTTCCCCATAAGATGTAAAGAAAATTTATTCCCTTTCTCCCACCCTTCCATTATCCTGGGCAGATCAGGGCCTGGCTTTTGTTTCCCATCACATTTTTAAATGTGTGTGTGTGTGTGTTTGAACGTCTGCACGAAGCTGCATGTGGAGGCCAGAGGACGACCTGACGGCTCCGTTCTTTCCTTCTGTCCTGTGGATCTCAGGGATCAGATGCTGACCCTCAGGCTTGGCTGCAAGCCCTTCTACCTGCTGAGCCCTGCAGGTCCCCAACGCCTGACTTTAGGTAAACAATTTGAACTTACAAAGAGCTTTTGTGTGAGGCTTCCAGTGATGAGGGAGGATCAAAGCCTATGACTTTCCCAGAGACCTATCCCCAGTTTGCCTGACCAGCTGTCTTGGTAAAGGCTTGGCGTATGCTTGGGAAGGTCATTCTCCCCCTGCTTGGGGTAAGGGTGAATGTTTAGAATCTGGGACTTTTCTTCTGGTTTGCAGTCAGTGCACAATCCCAGGCGTCCTCCTCCGGTCCTCCTCTCTCCTCTCTGTTGTTAGCCATCGCATGCCCTGATGTCATTGCTGCCATTGTGAGCTGACAGGCCCTCCCAGCTCTGGTGGACATGATCAACCATAAGCAAGCGGGGGGCCCGGAGCTGGGAAGGTGGGGGGAGCAGTGGTCCCAACAACACCTTGGAGTTGGGCTGGGTCTGTGTGGAGCCCCAGAGGTGTTCCCCAGCCCATTCTTTTTAAGAACCAATGAATAAAATTAGGGGCCTCCCTCCTGTGGTCAGAGACCCGGGCCCTGGAGTGGAGCTTGGAGTAGAAGATGGCCTTCTCTGTCAGCTCATTCGTTCTCCAGAGTTCAACTTGTTCTCTGACTCGGTGGTGTTTGAGAGCACCTTCATCCAGGTACCTCCTGCATCCTAGGGTGGGGGAGGCCAGAGGGAACCAGAGGGGCTAGGTCCCAAGGTCACCTCCCTTTGTGCCTGTCGTGTGAGGAACTCCCTGCAAGACATCCTGCAAAGAGTTAAGTAGTGGTTTGGTATAAGAAAGAAGGTTTTTTTTTTTTCTGTTCATTTGTCATAAGAGACACGTCTTACTGTGTAGCCTAGGCTGGCCTGGAGCTATGAAGACCAGGCTGGCCTCAAATGCATAGAGATCCTCTAGCCTCTGCCTCCTGAGTGCTGTGATTAAAGCTCAACTTAAGCATCTTTTTAAAAAGGGTTTGTTTGTTTGTTTGTTTTAAAGATTATTTAATTTTTAATTGCGTCTATCTGTACACATGAGTGCAGTGCCCTGGGAGGCCAGAAGAGGGCATCAGATCCCCTGTAGCTGGAGTTGCGGGTGATTGTAAACCACACATCATCTGTAAGAGCGGTAAACACTCCTCGTGGTCCAGCTGGGTTTTTTTTTTTTTTAGCCCTGAAAGGAGCCTCATGGTGTACAAGGAGCTCCATTCAACCGTGATCAGCAGTAACTGTCTAAGCAAGCTCTATCCAAGACCCTTTGTACCAGCAATGCATGATTACAGACACCCAGGGCATTCTCTCTGAACTTTGGCGGTTGAAAACAGTGTGCCAGACAACAGGGGTCCCACAGCCACTCTTTGTGGGTATTGCTGAGGTTCTGGTAAGGAAACGACCAGGCAGAGGGACTTGGAAGTTCCCAAATTAAGGTGGAGAGACTAGGCAGAATCAAAGCTCTGATGTCAGGACCCACGGAATGAGTCAGGGAGCTGTACGGAAGATGGTGGGAACCTTTCCAGGAGGGTCTAGGAATTAAATGTGAGACTCACAGCAATGAGCTACTTCCCACCACGGTCCCAGTTTTCCTGTGCTGCCCCAGGTGGACTCCTGTATTCCTGGGAGACGAGCTAGCAAGCTTGGGGTGAGAGAGCAGTAATGTGGGAGCCAGACCTTTGCAATTCCTGGTCCTCCCTGTTTGTGTGGTGTCTTGGCAGAGGACTTGTCCTCTTATTTTGCTCTATATGATCTAATATTGGCACTGTTGGGTGTCTCTGAATGGCCTCGACGTGACCCAAGAGAACCCTGCCTTTACTTAGAACGATTCACTCCTCAGTTGGATCCACTTCTTCCTCTCTCCTCTGTTCTCACTGCCACCCTATGTCTCCCCAAAGCAGGACTGGTTTCCAGCATTTATTGGCACTTACTCTCAGTGGGTACTGTCCTCTGTTCTGTGAGGACTGCAGATTCTATTCATAGCATGGGCTCTCAGAAATGTCACTTCTTTTTCTCTCTTTAAAATCAGTTTTGTTTAGTTTTTGTTTGTTTGTTTGTTTGTTTTTTGAGACAGGGTTCCTCTGTGTAGCCCTGGCTGTCCTGGAACTTGCTCTATAGACCAGGCTGGCCTTGCACTCACAGAGATCCACCTGTCTCGCCTCCTGAGTGCTGGGATTGAAAGCATGTGGCACCACTGCCTGGCCAGAACTAATTTTTCTTGAAGCATTACTTAGGCTGGTAGGAATCGAATTTCCACTTTCCTTGGGGTTTCTCTTTGTCTCCAGTTCCCACGTGGGGTGTAGAGTTGCCAGAGCTGACTAGAACACTGGGAGAAGGCCGCTGGTCTTGGACACACAGGTGTCTCCACGTTACCGATGGCTCCTTAATGGTGACAGTTTCTGCGCACTTCTAGGGCGAGCCGAGCCAATGCCCCTGTGCAGGTGGTTCACTGCCCCAGCCCTGCCCCTGCCCCCACGTATTATGGGAAGCACAGTGCCAGGACCGGCTCAGGGGAGCCACTCAGACCGTGGGAGAAGCAGGGTCTTGGTAACAGGAAGGCACAAGTTCGGCGAATGACAGACAGACAACAACACACAAGAGAGTGGTTGGAATCTGCTGCGATTTTTACTGAATTCATGTTTTCATTATATAGTATTCAAACAAAGAACAAATCAGAAGGTCATGTGTCATTGGTTGGCACAGTACGAAAGCTTCTTTTAGTCACATCAGCAATATTTAAGAAAAGTACATTATCAGGAACAGGTGTTAGACATAAAGCATCCTTAGAGGAAATCTTGTCCTTGGGAATGTAAACCTCAGGCAAGTGGTTTCATCTTATGAACAGAAAGTTTCTGTCTCATTATCGCTATCATGGCCCTTCCTCTTCCTAACCCTTTACTTCATCTAGTGACCAAATATACCCAATCAGTTCTCTGCACCTGCTGAACTATACTTTTTAGTACCTTCTTATGCAGCAGACATCATGGGGGTTGGGCTCTAGCAAGCCTATCCATAAAGTCGAAAGTATAATATAACAGTCTTTGTCCATCAACATTAACCCATCTATTCCCTTGCTCATCATACACCCTGTGTATGACAATGGTTCTGCTGTAGTCTTATACTTTCCCATACTGTGCTTCCTTATCCCAGAGCTGTTTCTGAAGAGAATGATCCTTGTCTTGTATATATATAGAGAATATCATTATTATAAAAGACATTGTGCAAAGCTCATATCCCGCATAGCCAGCTAATCGAGAAACCCATCTATGCCTCAGCGGTGGCTAATACCAGGCTGTCTGCCATTGACCTCCAGGAAGCCTAGTCCCATGGGACACGTAGCTCCCGTCCGGCATAATGACATATGTCATGTCACACAGACGACACTGGAGTTGGTGTGGCAGCAGAGGAAGTTCTTTTGATGTTTGAGGCCCTGCAATAAGCTGCCCTCTCTTGTCTGAGGGAAGTTCTCCAGCCTCCTCCACTTGAGCTTCCTGGGGCTTTCCCACTCTACTGTCTTTCTCCTGTAGAACTTTCTTCCCTTACAGGTCATTAGAAAGCTGTGCTAGCCGGCTGGTGGTGGCGCATGCCTTTAATCCCAGTACTTGGGAGGCAGAGACAGGCCATCTCTGTGAGTTCGAGGCCAGCCTGGTCTACAAAGCTAGTTCCAGGACAGCTAGAGCTGTTACACAGAGAAACCCTGTCTCAAAAAAACCAAAAAGGAAGGAAGGAAGGAAGGAAGGAAGGAAGGAAGGAAGGAAGGAAGGAAGGAAGGAAGGAAGGAAGCTGTGCTGGTTTCTTTGACCCAATGCCACTCAGCTTTTTTTTCTTACTAAACATCTTTCTGTTTGTTGTTTTGAGACAGGGTCTCATGTACCCCAGGCTGCTTTCTAATTCCACGTGAAACCAAGGACCTTGAAGTGCTGATTCTCCTGCCTCAATTCCCAAGTGTATCTTTTCAGTTAGATGTGTTTCTCTACATAAAGCAGTACTACACAGGGTTGTTGCTGTCCACAGACTATATCTGGGGAGACCTATGAAAGGGACCGGTGGCAGGTAACCATCTAGCTCACCAAGCCAAAGTGGCTCTGTCTAGTATCTGTGTCCTTCCACCCCTTGTCTCCTTGTCTGCTCTTTCTCTTTTTGACCCGTGTGTCTGGGCTTGGTTTCCAGGTCACCAAGCAAGGAAACTGGATGGATGCCTATGAAAAATCTGCTACTATGATCATCGGGGTAACCTCTTCTGTGCCCTCCTTGCCACTCCCCAACGTCCTTCTAATGGCCAATGTCACCTGGCCTCACGGGCCGTTTTCCACCTCTAGCACACCTGGTACCCCTGTCATCACTCTCAGCAGGTAAAGGCTGGAGAGAGGGGACGGGGCTGTGGGATGATTGACAGGCATATGTATACTGTGCAGGTGGGCTTCAGATCAGAAGAAAAGGCGGTGCCCTTCATAAGCTCCGCAGAGTTCACCCGCCTGTTGATGTGATGCTGGTTTACTTAGTGGTTTTTTTGCAGCAAGTGCAGAGCTGCAGATCAGGGATGCAGCACAGCTCCTGTTTCCAGCTGAGTGTCTGAGGAGCTTGGCTTCATTTTATTTTATTTTTCAGGGTCTTTTGTTTTTTGTTTTTGTTTGTTTGTTTTAGATGGGGTCTCCCTATGTAACCCTGGCTTGCCTAGAACTCATGATATAGACCAGGCTGTCCTAGAAGTTGAAGAGTTTGCCAGTCTCTCTCTCTCTCTCTCTCTCTCTCTCTCTCTCTCTCTCTCTCTCTCTCTCTCTCTTTTTTGTGTGTGTGTGTGTGTGTGTGTGTGTGTGTGTGTGTGTGTGTGTGTGTGTAACTTTTAGGAGCTGCTTCTCTCCTGTTTTGGGGATCGATCTCATATCATTAGAGTTAATAACCAGCACCTTCACCCTCAGAGCCATCTCGCCAGCCCAAAGATAGAGATATTCACATCAAATAGGGCTATGAGATATTGAGGTTGAAAAAAAGATCTCGCAAATCCCAGAATGGTGAGCCTGTCTCAGAAAAGGGTGGAGGGGGGCAGAGGGAGAGAGGACTCAGTGGATAAGGGGCTTGCTGCTCTTCCTGAAGTCCTGAGTTCAGTTCCCAGCAGCTGTGTCAGACAGCTTACAATCACCTGCAGGATACCTACATATAAGTGGCGTACACACACACACACACACACACACACACACACACTAAACCTTAAAGAAAAGAAAAAGGAAAACCATAGTTCAGTTGGCAGAGTATATGCCTGGCACACGCAAAGCCCTAGGTTTGACCCCCAGCACTAAATAACCTGAGCACAGTGATACAAACCTTTCACCCCAGAACTCGGGAGATGAGGACAGGGGATCACAGAAAAGAACAGAAAACCTCAATATATAGGACACATTCACATTTCTCACTTGTTTGATTCCAGGAATCAAAGATGGAGGGAAAGGCTTAGAAATTAAGAAATCTTTGTTCTATTTCCCTCTTACAAAGATTTCAGTGTAAACAAATCTTGAGATTTTTAATTCAGGTTTTGTTTGTTGAGACGTGGTCTCCTGTAGCTAATGCTTGCTTCACACTAGTTAGCTGAGGGTGACTTTAAACGCCTAATCCTCCTGCCTTAGCCTCCCAAGTGCAAGGGTGACCACTGTGCCCAACTCACTGTGCGTATACATGCATGTGTGCGTGTGTGTGTGCATATGTGTGTGATGTTGGATATATACAAGCATGTTTATGTTTGTGTCAGAGTGCAAGGCCAGAGGACGTGTTGGATGTCCTGCTCTGTCATATTCTGCTGTACTCCCATGAGGTGGTCTCACTGAAGCTGTGGCTCACGGCCTTGGCTAGGCTGGCTGGCAGTGACCTCTCAGGATCCACCTCTTTTGGCATCTAGTCTTGAGACACGACAATGTCTGCTTTTTTTTTTTTTTTTTTTTTTTTTTTTGGTTTTTCGAGACAGGGTTTCTTTCTGTGGTTTTGGAGCCTGTCCTGGAACTAGCTCTTGTAGACCAGGCTGGTCTTGAACTCACAGAGATTCGCCTGCCTCTGCCTCCCAAGTGCTGGGATTAAAGGCCTGCACCACCACCGCCCGGCTCATTTTTTTTTTCTTTTAAACATGAGTGTTGGGGATTCAAACTCAGTCCTTGATGCTTGCACAGCAAATGCTTTTTTTTTTAATCCTCTGAGTCACCTCTTTTTTCACTCACCAAACTTCTCCAAGCCTCTGTTACAAATGCATATTTAGTGACATTTCTCTTTTCCTCATGAAAGGGTTTTATGAGAACTGAGACAGTATGCACCAGTAACAGTAGTGGTGGCGGATGTGGGCAGATTATTTTTATTTAATATTTTTTGAGACAAAGTCCCGTAGCTCAGGCCCTCAGTTCCCAGGTGACGAATTTAGGCGTACACTCACTGTTATGCAGAGTCTTTCCTAAGGGACAGAGAGCCTGCAAATGATCAGAGGGGAGTCAGTCCCCACCCTTAGCGCAGGAGCTCTGTACTGCCAGCGCCCTCCAGGCAGCGCGGGAGGTGCCGACACACAAACTTCCTGATCATGCCCAGGATCCTTCCCCTGAAGTATGTGGAGCTACAGATCTATGACTACA